TGGGAGTTCTCGGGATTGAGAGAGTGTGGTATGGGGTGTATTATATGGTATGGTGTATCAGGGCTTGAAATAGAAGCGCGGATCAATGGTCTGCAAAGAATTTTTTATGATCGGCGGAAAAACAGGGCAAGTCATGACTGCCGATCACCATGATTAGGAACTGTGGGAGCGGTGTATGGTATGGTATGGTATAGTATGGTACGGTACGGTATGGTGTATTATATGGTGTATGATATGGTGTATGGTATGGTATTATGTATGGTATGAAATGGCATGGTGTATGGTATGTGGGATGGGATGGGATGGTTTATGGATGGTATGTGTATGGTATGGTGTGTGTTATGGTATGGTATGGTATGATGTGGTATGGTGGATTGTATGGTGTATGGTATGGTTCATGGTATGTGGTATGGTATTAATGGTATGGTATGATTGAAGTTGATTTCTCCAATTTATTTTAGACCAACATCCCGTTCTTACTGAATGTTCTGCAGCATTCTGAGTTTCTTGACGGTGCAGTAGACACAGATTTTATCAAGGAAAATCCTCAGTTATTTGAAATCGCGACAAGTCAGAACAGAGCTCAGAAACTGCTACATTACTTGGGCAATGTCATGATTAATGGACCAGTCACACCACTTGCAACCAGTATTAAACCCAGTACGATTGAACCGAAGGTGCCTAAAGTAAGAAAGCTATTATTATATCCCAGTATTGATAGCACAATGGTTAGTGTATATGTCTTTCAGGGCTGGCTTATACTGAATCTCTACAGAGAACAGTTTAGAACTCATAGAGGTATCCTGTATGCACTAGATAAAACATGAGCAGCCGATCTGTATCTGATTATCGTACTTAAAAATTGACCCATCTTATGAGTTCATTGGTGAAGTAATTTTAAAACTAAACATTGTCTAAGCCGAGAAAATCAAAGCTGAAGTTTATGTAAAAATCAGGACAAATCTTTATCCGATTTACAAACATTGATTAAACATTCATTTGTTTTGTATTTTCCTCGTGAATTATTAATGAATTTTTTAAGTATAAATACACTTTAGTTTCAATTTAGTTTTTGCTGCTTTGTGATCAAAGTTTTAAATTGTTATACCTGTCACGTTTTAGGAAGGGTTACTATTTTTAGACTTTTGTAATTTTGTATTCTTTTGTATTTTAAACTTAACCCTAATCCTAACCCTAACACTAATCCTAACCCTAAAAGTCTAAAATAGTACTTGTTCCTAAAGCTGGAGTTACACGAGCAACAAAATTGCTGCAACTTGCAACAAAATCTGATTTCAACGCATGTTAAGTAGAAATGTCGACACATGTTGCCTTGTGATTTATAATTTATGTGTAAACATTTTCAATTAACATGCGTTGAAATCAGATTTTGTTGCAAGTTGCAGCAATTTTGTTGCTCGTGTACTCCACCTTAAATCGTGACTCGTATGTTAATTATTGTCGTTATTTCATGTTTTTTACTAGATTCCTGTAAGCAACGCCCGCGATCGTCCAGCAGGCTTCAAGGATATTCTCACAAAAGAAGGCCCAGAAGGTTATGCGCGCGCGGTCAGAAATTCAAAATCACTGTTGTTAATGGACACCACATTCCGGGATGCACATCAGTCGCTCCTTGCAACACGTGTTCGGACCACTGACCTACGAAAGATTGCTCCGTTTGTTTCGACGAATTTTTCAAACCTTTTCAGCGTTGAATCTTGGGGAGGCAAGTATCATTCCCATTATAGACTAACTAGTCGTGGCAAAAAAAGTATATTCCTGGAAAGAGCATACTAAAATGAGTGAAATTGGAAAGTTCGGTTGTGAAATGTTGTACAATGCGGAAAATGTAGCCTTGCGAAGTTCGCAAATTTTGTATTCTTTTGTATACTTTTGTATTGCGTGCGGAAATTGCTACCACATTTGGGCCGAAAATGGTAGCAATTTCCGCACGCAATACAAAAGTATACAAAATTTGCAAACTTTGCAAGGTTATAGTTTCCTCATTTTACAACATTTCGCAACAAAAGTTTGCAATATTACTAATTTTAGTTGTGCAATTTTTACCAGGGATGGATTTACTGCCCCCCCCCCCAGCCCTGGCCAGAGGGGGTGCAGGCAGGGGGGTGCTATTTTTCATGATAAAGCAAAAAAATAGAGACAAAATAAGATACAGTAATTTGTGTAATAACATGATGATAAGCGAACTGTGAACAACTATTACAATTCAAATACAGTAGTCAAGTAGACTTTGCAGTAGTCAAGCAAGTTGATGGGCGGGCGGCGCACATGACCGACACAACTCGGCACCAGAGCAGGCAGAGCACATCCCCTACTAGATCATGCTGGATCCATCCCTGATTTTTACCAGTGACCGCCACTACAACATGCTCTTCGTGCTTATTTTACAAGATTACACCATACGTAACAAACAGAAACCTGTATTAATACACCGCACAAAATACAATTATATAGGCAGCGACTGGCCACAAGAAAGAGTGCCTATTATCGTGGTCTTTAAGGGCGCTTTCCCTTTAATGGCCTGACCGGTCAGACCCGAATTTTATTCTCTGTATCAATGGAAAGATCTGGTCTACATTCTAATGTTATTGTGTATTGTGTTCTGTGTTTCATTCAACAATTTGACCGGTCTGGCCGTGTTAATGGAAAGCGCCCTAAATGTGACTTGATGTATATTTTTTTTAGGAGCAACGTTTGACGTGGCGATGAGATTTCTGAACGAATGCCCCTGGGATCGTCTCGCTAAGTTACGGGAAGACATACCAAACATCCCACTACAAATGTTACTGCGAGGAGCCAATGCCGTGGGGTACACGAGCTATCCTGATAATGTTGTCTACAAGTTCTGTAAGGTCGCAGTGGAACATGGGATGGATGTTTTCCGTGTGTTTGATTCGCTGAATTATCTACCGAATCTTCAGGTAAGGACTGCTGACCTGTTGAGGGGTTGGAATGCGGGTAACTATACCTACACACGTAGAAACACACAAGTTATAACAAACCTACAGTTCTCATACTTGTAGCAATGCTGTTCCAAAAACCTGTCAACAGGATGTGTTCATACTGCTTGTTCCCAGCTTGTTGACAAGTTGTTAACGGCTTGTTCACACTTGCTAGAAGGTTGTTGAGCTCAACAGAATTGTTACAAGTTGTTCCAACAACTTGTTATCGTCCTGCAATTCAACAATTTGTCAACAAGTTGTGAGTGACAACCTTGTAGCAACTTGATAAAATAACATCATTACAATTTGACATCATTGTTACAACTTTTTGACAAGCTTGCTACAAGCCTATTGCGAGCACATCTTTTTGACAAGTTGTGAGATTTTTACGTGTGTACAGTAAACCAGAGCTCCATGTGTATAACTGGAGTAATAAGTAGCCAATACTTTTAATTCCATTTTTCATTCAATTCACCGTAATGTATGTAATCTTTCAGCTTGGGATGGAGGCAGCCGGCGCTGCTGGGGGTGTTGTTGAGGGAGCGATTTCGTACAGCGGTAATGTAGCTGACCCAGATGGATCTCGCCAATGAGCTGATCAAAGCTGGCACCCACGTACTTTGTATCAAGGTAAAGTTACTGTTCTTGTTTTGTGGAAACAATCGGGTTTTAGTGACACAGACTCACAGAGATCAGTGCTTGTGCCTTTCACCAACTTTGCTTCATCCAAACACCAAACGTTTTCACGGGCGCTTCAGTTTTTATTTGTAGTAACACTGGACCAATAAGAGGATCCACCTTTCATGGAGTACCAGCGATTAGAACAGATCAGAACTGATGGAAGTATCCAGTATAATTGTGCGTTGAGTTTATCTTTCCTCCCGTAGAGCTATCAAGTATAAAGTTAGTTTAGTTTAAGTTTCCTCCTGTAATAACGCTTGGTCATTAAGGGATGGGTTTTTACTGGACCACTAGGGAGAACAGTTTAGAGCTGATATAGCTATCTAGTATAAATAAAGCAAGTTTTGTTTAGGTGTCTACTGTAGTAGCACTGGACCAATAAGAGATGACTGTTACTGGAACTCCAGTGGATCTATCCAGTATAAGTAAAGTTTTGTTTAGATTTTCTCCTCCACAGTAACACTGGATGAATAAGAGATGATCCTTACTGGACCTCTAGGGAGAACAGTTTGGAAATGATAGAGCTATTTAATATAAATAAAGCTAGTTTAGTTTACGTTTCTAATTTCTCTAGGATATGGCGGGATTACTTCGTCCTGAAGCTGCCACGTTACTGATCGGATCTCTTCGTGCCCAGTTCCCTGACATGCCTATCCACGTGCATACCCATGATACAGCGGGAGCTGGGGTTGCGTCCATGTTGGCATGTGCTGAGGCCGGTGCTGACGTAGTTGATGTTGCCGTGGACTCCATGTCCGGGATGACGTCACAGCCAAGTATGGGTGCTCTTGTCGCGTCATTACAGAATACGGACAAGGACACGGGTAAGACACACTCAGGGTTCGTAGCGGTCTTTGAAATCCTTGAAAGTCTTTAATATTTACCTACCACCAAAATCCAAACTAAGGACTAAGCTCTATTAAAGTCTATTAAACTAAATTTAACTGTTTTTAAACAAGTTAATGTAAATAATGATAGTCTGCACTCAGACTAAAGATTGTCATTTAGTGATTCACTTTGACAGCTTCAGCTCATATTTTAATATTATTCTGAATCAGTAAATTCAAAATACTCTTTAATTAATGGATGAGAATTGATGAGTATTCTTTAAATATTTAGTTTGACTATAGACTGTGAGCAATCACTGCACTAGTATACTGTTCTGTCTTTTCGTCTCATTTCCTTTCTTTCTGTTTTTCCTTTCCTTATTCATCCTCTAGCTAACTTTCTTCCTCTAGCTAACATCCTCTGCCAACCTCAAAATATATTTTGATACCACTGGAGGAGGTTTTCGACTACAGCAGTTACTGGGAACAAGCACGGTTGCTCTACGCGCCGTTTGAATGCACAACGACCATGAAAAGTGGATACTCCGATGTGTACGAAAATGAGATTCCTGGGGGTCAATACACAAACTTACAGTTTCAAGCCTTTAGTCTGGGGCTCAATGAACAGTTTACTGAGGTGAAGAAAAAATACACGATGGCAAACCGTCTCTTAGGAGATATTATAAAGGTAAGCAATAAAAATATGTAAGGATTTTGAAATTCTGTGACTCAAAACACTGATCTGAGATTGAGAACCAGGACTGGATAGAACATTCCGTGGAAGTATCGGACCACGGAACCATTGGTCCACGAAAATATTTGAGTTCTCAGAAAATATTTCTTTCCCAAGAAAGAAAAAAAAAGATAATTGTAATAATTTAGATAAAAGGAGAAATTCAGAGGAAAAATTCTAACCAATAGAAAGAATGTCACCTGTATTGTAGGTATGACCTCAGAAATGTAATTAGTGCATCCATCTCAATAGTGTGATGGTATATAAATGTATAGACTATAGAATAATGTAACAAATGTTGTATGGCAAATGCATTTTTAGGCAATCCCCAACACCTGATTTTCAAAATTTCCTGGGGGAGCAAAATGTGACCGGTCACTTGGAACGAATTCGACCGGTCATTGACCATTTAGCGGCCGTTACTTAGTAAGTAGGGGGTGTAAGTAGGGGGTGTGCTTATTATACTTGTACTTGCAGCTGAGAGATAAGCTGAATTGCGAAGGACACAGTTCAACGTGATCGAGTCGAAGGCTTTCTAAGGGCGCATATAGCAGCCACCTTTTGACTCGCCATCACGGAGCACAGCGACGATGAAAGAGTTACTTTTTAGGGAATATCCTAACCAACCCTGTCAATATTCCCTGGTTTTGTATAATATATGTATTGTGTTGTTCACAACACAACATTCCATCTTTCACCTGTAAATATTTCTATCATTGCACTCATAAACTTTCATTATTTGTATACAATTCCATTCTATTGTATGTCAGGTGACACCATCATCAAAAGTCGTTGGCGATCTAGCTCAGTTTATGGTTCAGAACAACCTAAATGAACACGATGTGTTAGCTCGAGCCAGTGAACTGGATTTTCCGAACTCTGTCGTTGGCTTTATGCAAGGTGAACTAGGCCAACCATATGGAGGCTTCCCTGAGCCGCTTAGAACGCAGGTACGTCGACTTTTTCTTCTGTGTTGGCTAGTTTCAGAAACCGTTCTGCGGAGCAGCAAATTTTGGTTAACTTCAAAATTGCTGACACTTATATAAACAACTCGTACGTTCCATTGTCACCATGCGTCCAAATGCGATACGACCACGTTTTGTTTTGTGGCTGGAAATTTTAGTTTTTTCAACTTTTTGCCTTAAATTCCATGCAATATGTAGCTTAATTTTTAGACCGCCAATACTTTTATTGTGAGAAATGTTTGTTTATGCAGCCATCATTCAAAGTCTAAGGACAGTTGCCCTCCCCCCGCCGTCTAGTGTCCGCTACTGCGTCATATCTAATACACTGAATCGTGTTGTTGTGTCTTTAGGTTCTCAAAGGAAAACCAACGATTGATGGGAGACCTGGGGAGAGTATGGAAGATATGGACTTCAATAAGCTTGAGAACGAGTTAAAGGAGGAACACGGTATTGAAAGTAGACTTTTCTTATTTAACATTTTCATTGGAGCATGGAGGGTAGCTACGAGAGTGATAAATATACCATGTTGACAATTTCCGTTCCTAAACTGAAAAGAGAATTTGTTGAGGAAAATTAGGAAGCACAACACTTGCAACTTTATTTTAATCATAGTCTATCAAGATATGAAGGTCTGGAAACTAAACAGAAGTCATTGTATTATGTTTTTGTCTGAGTTTATGTTCATTTGTGCACGTTCACAGTGATTGAGCTCATTTAGGCCGTAGGATGAGCATCCAAAAGATGCTTAGAAAACGGATTCCGTTGCACCCCTCGTGTAACTACGTAATTTTCACATAAATAAATAGATAAAAACTTACTTTATCAGAATCCGTTGCTCCCCAAGCGAAACAGGTGCACATTTGGGAGAAAAATCCCTCCAAAGTTTGATATTTTCGCGCTTCGAAATATTCGAACCGCCATTGTTTTGATAGCAAATACGCATGCGCAACTCACCCAAACTCGCACTGCGCACGCGCATAACCAACGCACATGCTTCGAAGTGGAAACCATTGAACTATAAATAAACTGGAAGGCTAACTCAGGGGGGGAAATTGAAGCCAGTGTATTTTAGTTTTTCTGAGTTATGAGCAGAAATACTCAACACTGAACGTTGGGCAATATATCAAATCGAAGCTATTGAAAAACGCTATTTGGTGTAGAAATTTCAAGACTTTAGCTAAAAGAGAAGTATTGAAAAACTACAAACATAATTACCGATAATTTGCCGTTTTGCAGTTGTTTTTGTATTTTTTAAATATTTCTCTTTTCCTGAAGTCTTGAAATTTCCACACCGAATAGCAATTTTCAATAGCTTCAATTTGATATATAGCACGACGTTTGGGGTCAAGTAGTTCTGCTCATAACTCAGAAAAACTATTTTGGCTTCATCAAATCATAGGCCTTCATCATAGCAGTTAGCCTTCCAGTTTATTTATAGTTCAATGGTGGAAACACGCTCAGTTATGCAAATAAACATGGCTGAAGATATTTATAAAACTCGAATATCCTCATGTTTTATGCATTTTGATGGCGTTACGGAGCAGCTTTGCAAAGTTACACGCCAAAGGCTTAAGAAATTTCTTGAGTGTAGGTCAAAATGGGCCAAACTTAAATGTCAACAAGCTGAAATAGCTAAGAAATCGTACGAGAACATCGATGACGGATCTGTCAATTCATACAACGAGAAGAACTCTGACACCTTTAACTTAGAATGGAACCATCATATGAAATGCTGGAAGAGATTTTGTGATGAAGAGAAGATCTGTAGATAACAGAGAAAAGAAGAAAAAGGAGAAGGAACTAGCTGTAAAACTGTAACTTCTACCAAAGAATCACACGTGGAAGTGGAGGACAATAGAACCAAGGCGAAAAATTACACGTCAATCAGTCGCAGAAGCTATAAATATAAAGGCCCTGCCTAAAAGAAACGCGCATGTACTCCCAGAGATATGTATTATTTGTGGAAGAGACGCTTCGTGGTTCTCACTAGACAAGGTATGGTCATTTTGATAGGTATAATACTAGCGCAATGTGCACAACATTCTCAGGTTTGGTTTTAAAATATATTGAATTGTGATCAATTAAGTTTACTTAGGGTAAAGTAGTTTCTATGCTACAAACATCTAACCTTGTTATTAGTAGATATTTAGTTTAATAATAACCAGGCAACTAAGAAGAGAAGAACCCCACTCATGTTGGCAGAAACAATTGATGCTGGTCTTCTACATACAGCTGCCGAGAGAAAGAATGATCAACGGATACTCGTATAAATCCAGGGGAAAGACTGTGTAGCTCTGGAAATCCGCTATCACAAAGTTTGCTACTGCAATTATACAATATTTCTCACCAGAGAGACGAAGAAGCAACAAGAGCATCAGTGTACGAGAAGTCTTATGATGTATTCTGTAAAAAAGTAATGGAGATGGAGGTCATCTGAAATAAGCAAATAAAGTATATGAAAGAATCAAGATTTGCTGGAGAAATTTGTTATCATTCCTAAGGACACTGAGAATGTGGATGCATCTAAATATAGAGCTTTTAAACTCAAGCAATGACTGATGAAAAGTTATCCCCAACGTGTGTTCTGTGTACCGAAAATGAGAAATGTTAGTGAGATTGTATTTGTGGAAAATTTGGATTCTTCTGAATTGGTTGAGGAACATATGTCAATTAAGGGCCTGTTTATATGGAAGTCGGGCTGGCCAGCTTAGCGACACAGCCCGGTAAGCGGGATGAATTTCTCTTGTGTTTATATGGGATACTTTCACCCCGTTTGCCGGGACGATTTTGTTACATTGTATTGTTTTGACAGTTGTCAAAAATAGATTGCGGCGGTATCTTTGAACTTTCATCCCGGCAACCGGAATAGCCCTCTTGTAAATGTTTATATAGAGAAATTTCCATCCCGGTAAGCGAGATCTAGCCTCTTTCAAACGAGATCTCTGCAACCGGGCCAGCCCGCTTGTCCATATAAACACACAATAACTTTTACTATAAAAATAACTACACAGCGAGATCTCGCTTACTAGGCTGTCTCGCTTATCAGGCAGGCTTCCATATAAACAGGCCCTAAGTCTGAAAACAATGATGAGGACTTTAATGAAGAGAGCTGTACCATTGATTATGAAGATGTGAATTCCAACACAAAAACTGAGGGAAATTATAAAGTCAATGAGTTACAAATTCTATACAATGCTGCATTGATTCTTCACCAAAAGGTGCAAGAAATACCAAAACTGAATCTTCCTTGGCCACCATTGGCGCCTGATTTGACAAGGGATAATATTTCAAATCCGACTATGAGGTCATGACTAGACTAGATTTCAAGTCCACGCTATTTGATTATGTCCGAGGCGAAGCAGAGGACTGGATCAAAATGTGAGGTCTTGAAATCTAGTCCAGTCCGAATTGGAGGATTTGAAATGACATCCATACGAATAAATCACTACTTAGTTGATTTTGATCCAGTTCAAGGACTGAATTAATTTTAATCCAGTCCTACAGTAGAGCACTACAGGATCAATATACTTCATAAGGGATCTAGTATTATCATGTGAGCTAAATAAAGCAATATGGTTGGCTAATTTGCTCATGAATTATTAATGATTTGAGGTGAACAATGGTGGTAATGCACATAGATATTATCAGTGGAGTAGATCAGTATTATTTACTTATTCGATATTCTCAATCGAATCCACAGTATTTATATTATCAACACATATATCCCTCTCATGGACAGGGTAACAATATGGTCATGTCTGGGAAGCTAAAACGCACCCTGGTGGAGGAGCTAAAATGCACAGCAGCAAATCTATAAGAAAAATTCAACTAGTGTGGACAAGAAAAACCATAATGAATCGTTCGTTGTTATTCTAGATAGTGGCTAAATACCAACTTATGTCACAATATAAATAATATATATGTAATAGTTCAAATACGAGAAGTAGAACTTTACCAGACAAAAGCCAGGACAGCTTATTGCAGAATACATGCAATCTCGTTTTGAGCGTGCAAGCCCTTAGCCTGCGGTGCAGACGCAATTTCCTGCAACTAGCAAGCCCTTGGCCAGGATCCAATAAGTGGGATTTTAATGCTCTGATGAAAATCTGGGTTCGAAGATGAAAACATTTCTTTCAATTATAGATAGCTATAATGAAATTATGGATTTTATATTTGCTCCCAATTTATCTTTTTTTATGATGAATTTCGAGTTTATATAAATATCCCTTAAAGCCCGGTATGAACTGGGAAACACTGTTTGTTATATTATTTGTCTTTCCAATCTTTCGGTATGTGATATTGTCTTATCAGCGTCGGCAAACGGATAAAGAGTGTTTCATAAAATGCAATAAAAGCCAATTAAAAATCACGAATATTTCCGCAACATTGTTTCTTACGTTTGGCTAAGCGAAACATTTTATTTGTTCCTTGATCGTGTGAATTGTATGTATATATATTTTTTATTTCTTCGTCCTAGCTGTTTCATACAGGTGGTTTTTTTACCTCACACAAATTTGTATTGAATTAGGATGTTAATAATGTTAATACAAAGTAGAATTAAACGTTAAAACGGTATTTTGAAACAATAACCAATAAATTGAAGTGATTTAGCATAAGAGCCAACCTCGTACCCAGGGTATTTGCTCTTGGGAAGCGAAATACCCTGGTATGGGCTGGTCACGTGACCCGCGGATTTTGCGTAAAATGGCGTATTGTTTAGTAGGGTCGGGGGAGTGAGTATATATTGTGACAATTAATTAGATCGCTCTATGAATATAAACAATAACCATTGAATCTTCAAAGAAATCGTGATTATTCGTGAAAAGAACTGCAATTAAAAATTAATATTTATCGTGATGTGACTTTCTAATCTAGTGTCGAGTTACAATTCAAGCAAATTGGATCAGATTTCAACTTATAGACCTGTCAATGAGAAAGCACGCGTGGACGGCGTGGCAATATAATAAAGCAGTACAAGAAAATATATATATCTAGACCGAACAATGTGGTTATTCATTTATTTAATTGTTATGAAAGTATATCTAGATACTCGAACCAAAAGAATTTATTTATTGATGAGATGTGGCATGCAATTGCAACGAAATAGCGAGATCTTTTGATTTCCGAAATATCGCCAAGACGCCAACTGTATCCAGATTGTTGACTATAAAAGCTTATAAAACTTCCTGCATTGGCCCTTGGCATTGCTGAAACTTAACAATCATGGTATATGTTAAAGTCTAGCTGTCTGTTGAAAATCTACAGTATTAAAATCATACATCAAAGATAAGTCAAACGACAATATACTATATTATGTCTTTCAATGGGCACTTTATATTAGTAATAGTGTTTACAACATTTATAAATTTTATAAACAGCTTTCGTTTTGACACAACTCACACAAGTTTAAATTTTTTGCTTTATATATATTCTTAATAATACAAGTGAGATTTAAATATTTTTCTTTGTGGAATAGAATCCCGTTATTTTTTAATGGACAGCTTGTATCGTCTTTATCATATCCAGGATTGCTTGTAAATGCATAATAATATCACTATGACACTATCAAATAAATATACAAATATATTTGAGAGCCTTGTTTTTTAGAGCATATTAATGACTAATGAACTACAAATAAACAGATGATTCACAATGAAAACTTTAAAAATGTTAGTAGAAGTAGAAAACTCGAAAATTTATGTTTATTCGTATGACAGTCTGTGCGCGTCTGACACTGTAAATTCACAATATATAGATTTAGTATATTAGGAAAATATTATGATTAATAAAGACCAAGAAAAAGGCTAAAGCCTGACTATAATCACCGAATACTATGTACTAAATCCAAAATTTTATAATCACTGACAGACTTTCTCTGTTTGGCTAGTATCAAATGTAATACATTTGCTAATATTGGGCTCTAGTCCCAGACAATACAATACAATACTGTTTCTTTCAATCTTATAAACAAGACGCGTAGACGTATAGTAACAAGTAATTAAATCGGTGCAAAGCATATAAACATTTACAAGAAAGGACAAATCTAATGGCGTATTTTAAAAACATTACATATGTAGAAATGACTGAAAAGCTCATAATAAACGTTTGTTATAAAACCGCGCTCAAGTGTGAAGAGACGGCATTGAATAACAACACGAGAGAGCACTGTGAGTAACGATTTGCTTGGTTTCTTGACTTGACTGTTGGTAAAAATGTAAGAATGTTCTTGTAAATTCAAAGCAAAGAAAATAAACAAAAATTAGCAAGTATTTTGAACTTAATAATGTTTTTAACTGTTAAACAAAATATCTCCACTGGAATCATGTAATTTGATACTTTTCCCACACCCCCTCAGGCGCTAAATTTTGGACGAGGCACGTGACCAGCCCATACCAGGGTATTTCCTAAATACCCTGGGAACGAGGTTGACATTCAAACAGGAAAGATTTATATTCAAATTTTCTGCTTATAAAGATCGAAAGACTTAATAGAACACAAGGAGATTGTTTTCAAAGGTATGTCTCTTGTGTATTTACTTATTTGTATGGGGCGCCGAAGCGGACAAAACTGCTATATGCACAAATATCCATGCTCTTCTGTAAACAGCATACAAATGCATGCTAAGTTAAAATAAAAGCACTCAAAATTCCAAAAACACATCCTGAAATCTAAAAATTCATTCGAAGAATATTCGCAAAAATACATGCCAATTGACAAATATACATGCTAATTAATATTCCATCATGCTAATTAATATTCCATAAATTAACAGAAGTATTCGGGCAAAGACATTCCCGCGCTTTTCTTCCAAACAAAAGTAAAATAAAAATGGCGGACGATCGAAGGACAAATTTGCTGCAAGACGCATTTGATCAGATTGCTCGTTTAACAGGAGTTAGTCAAAGTGAAAATCGTCCTGTAAATCCCAGTAATAATGCATCGGCATCAAATTCTGTAAGCATGGAACTCAGTAGAAGATTTCCTTCGTTACGAATGCCAGCTGCCGGCCCTACATCTGTGAGTCCTGCCACGTCGTCAGGCGTCAGCCACTAGTAACTCAGCCAACAGGGCCACATTCTCTCGCTCAAGTTCAACAAGAAGCCAGGCGAGTCGGAAAAGAAAACGAACAGTAGATAAACCATCAAAAGTTATTTATAAAGATCTGGTATTCATACCAGATCCAGAGGAGGAGCAAGTTCCCACACACACGGCTCGAGTCACGCTTGAAACAGACGGGAAAGTTATTCATGGATTCCCTGTAGACATGGAGTGGGATGCAAGGTCGCTACGGGGGAAAATATGCGATCAGATTCCCGAACTTCTTTTTTCTGAGTTTGAATATGTAAAGGTAACTGGGGCCATTCATTTAATATATTATATATACACCCCCGTGTTGACGACATTCTCTGAGCCTGAGATGTATAGGAAAAATGGGCTATTACATTTAATTCCCGTACCCCCCCTGTCGAGGACCTCATTTTCCAAGGGGGAAATTAGTAATTTTTTCCAGAGGGGTAATTGGGAAAAATGGAAGAAAAATGCTCTTTCCAGAGGGGTTAAAAAGTAAAAATGCACTTCCAGAGGGGGTTCAAGTCTCTTCCAGAGGGGTCAATTACACAGATTTTTTTGCATTCCAGAGGGGTAAAAATCCCAAAAGCAGAGGTCCTCGACAGGGGGGTTTGGTTTTTTAATGTAATAGCCCAATTGAGGAGTCACTATACTGGGGCATGAACTTTTTGCACCAGTCATTTGAAACCCCCGACCACCCCTCCCCCCCCCCCACGTCAGGGACACCGGGGGAATTTACTCTCTTTGTGTGTGAACCTTTATCCCCCAGTCACCGAGGGAAAAGTAGGGTAAACAAACACCCCTGGCTTTTTTCTCCTGATATTCGATTTAGGTAGCTTTTAAAATCGCTATGTAAGAGCTTTTTAATGCGACAGTTGTTTAATTAAAAGAAAAAACGTCCCGGAAATCTTGTGTACTTAATTTTAATTAAAACCCTGACAAAACATGATAGTATTAACATGTCAAATTGTATCTGAATCATTTTGTATAATTTTATTTTATATAATTTTTTTTCTTATGGTATATCTTATTGCAAAATTTTACGTAACTCGCTGTTGGTCTCGCATTCCCCAGTGACCAGGGAAGGACAAAACAGTGAAAATGAGGTGAATATCCCTGTTATGTGTGTGTGTGTGTGTGGGGGGGGGGGATCGGGGGTTTCAAATGACTGGTGCATAACTACCTGTTGACAACAATTCCTGGGAGGTCGGTGAAAATTTTAAAGTTTCTGAGGCAAAAACATTTTTCTGATGGGTCATAATATCAGGGGATGTTGTCAACAGGGGGTGTACATATGTTTTAAATGGAGTGATCCAAGTCTCATTGGAAATTAGCTATTATCTATCTGTAACCATTCCCCTCTTGGCTTTGTATCTTATTCATTTAGGGGCCGTCAACAAATAGATTTGAACCCCCACCCCCATTGCATACCAGACTTTCTACTATTGCCATCATTCAAAATCTTGATGTGAGCTGTTATAGTGTAAGTTGTTGAATTTACTTTAGACAAATTTAAATTTAATTGTACATACTTTTGTCTGAAATGTGATACATATTTGTTGCTGTACAGTACAGTACAGTACAGTACAGTACAGTACAGTACAGTACAGTACAGTACAGTACAGTACAGTACAGTACAGTACAGTACAGTACAGTACAGTACAGTATGTTGAATGTACAGTGCATCCCACAAAATAGTCTATTCTTTTGTTTTGTCCCTGTGGTTGTCAGGGAGGGATAATTACATCACAAAATTTAATTACTCATGTATTTGGCTGATTGGAGGAGGTATACATCTGTGATTCCCAATAAATATAAAAAATATGCTTTCAGGCGTGTTATGGAAAGCTGGTGCCCTTAAATTTGGCTAATGGGGTTGAAGCTACAGCTGAGATAATTCTCAAAGTGGCAGGCCAGGGTGCGATATACCTGAGATGCACAGAACTGGAAGACGATGACAGTATTTTGATGCATTCTGCTTTTGACAACGAATCAAGGTTGGTTTTCAAAAGACAATTGCAATCTAAAAAGTTCTGGTTTGCCAAGTTCTTTACACTGGGTTTTCAGGTATATGGGCCATTCAGTTTTTTTCTGTGATTATTACAGCAATGCCTCAACTGCAGAGGTCATACCTACTATAATTGAACCTGGTCCTACTTCTGGTCCTACTTCTGGCCCTGGTCCTACTTCTGCCCTTGTCCTACTTCTGGCCCTGGTCCTACTTCTGGCCCTGGTCCTACTTCTGGCCCTACTACTGTACCTACTGCTGCATATACCATTATAACTGGTCCTACTTTTGCACCTACTACAGTTGTTGATGATGATGAAGGTAATATTACTAATGAAAATAAACATGAACAAACATTGGTTCTAGC